GCTGGGAGGGTGGGGGTTCGGCCTGATGGGGGAGTTGGGGGGTGGGGACGGGGTCCTGGGTACTCACGCTCCGCTCAGTCTAGCAACCTTGTGCTCGCTCGCTCGCGACTGACAGACAACCGGACGTGACGGAAGTCGAGACGCAGGCTCCACCCTTCTGAAACACGTGACGGGGCGTGGTCTAGCCGCCGAAACCAACACCGAGACCCTTTCCAGGGCCTTAAAGGAACCGCCCCTCGGCCAGAACAGTTGCCTCGAAAGTGAGATGTAGCAAAGATTGGGTCAGACCTCTGAGTGAATGAGGGAGCAAATAAAACATGAATAACAAGCACTGAGTTTTGCACTTGTTCCATAAATGTTTCTTGTATTACAGTGAAGTGTCCGTGCTGAAAAAGATCCACACTTCTGGCCCATTTAACCAGAAATGACCCCCACCCCCGCTCCATTTGACTCTGGTTGGTAAAATCCAAAGGAAGGAAGCCAAAGTAGCAGTGTTTAATTCCAGAACGAGGAAAAAATTTTTGCAGAGGTCCTGGGCCACACACTCCTCTACCCCTCTACTGAAATCCTGGAAGTGTACGGTAGTTAACAGAAGGCAAGAGAAATCAATACTACAAACAGGAATATAGCTAATAGATTATTTCAATACTTGTTTAATGAATGCCTACTATTGCCAAGAATATAAAGTTATTATATTCATCCAACACACATTTATCAAGCACCCACTATGTGCCAGGCACTGCAGGAGGCACTTTGCATATATTAAGGACTCATTCTAACAAGCACTTTCCAAAGTAAGAATGATTATTCTCCTCATTTCATAAATGAGAAAACCAAGGGTCAACAAGCTTAAATAAGTTGCGGGAGACTATGCAGGGCATGAGTCATGGTGCCAACCCTGTACTCGCTCAGCTGCAGACTGCGGGACAGGACAATACAAAAATTCTAGCCGACTCCTTTGTGCAGCGTCAGACTAGATGACCACTTTTTAAAAACGAAATATTTAGTGTATAATTCCTTTTCTAGGCCCTTCCAAAAAGGCAAACATAATCTATGGGGATCAGGTTACGCTTGAGGGATATCACTTGGGAGTGAATATGAAGGAACCCACTGAAACCAAGGNCAGACAAGTTGCTGTCCTTTTGTTCTTCAGTCTAGTTGTGGAGGACGTTGCTTCACTGGCCCAAGTTGGCACCATCATTGCGCTCTTCCTGGGCGACGTAGATCAGTCACCGGCTTCTGGACAGCAGCTCACAGCAGCTGTTGGCCGCTCATGCTGGCTGCTGGCGACACACGGTAGCCCATGGCAACCCACTGCAGCAGGGGCTGCAGTCTACTCCGCAGTCGGCGACTCACGGCAGCCCAGCTCCAGGTTGAGCTGTTGTTCAGCATCTTAGTTGTAGAGGGCAGTGTCACTGGCCCTCATCTGTGGGATCCGAACCGGGGCCCTCTGGCATCCCAAGCCAGTTCTTAACCAACACGCCATTCAGCCGGCCCAAGGTAAACTCTTAAGTGAAGACCAGCATGGGCAGATGGGAGGAAATAGGCTATACCCCACCACCACCCTTGATGCTCTGATGCCACATAAGGCCACCCCACCCCTGCCCAGAATTTAGAAGGGGAGAAATCAGGAGTTTAACCCGAAATTGGCTAAGATGAAGTTTCTGTCATTGGCTGCCATGGTGATCGTTAAACACAATCTTAGAAAAATCAAGAAAGTCACATTTTTCCTGAACCTGAATTTGTGGCATGAGAGCCGTACCTGTAACACACAAAAAGGGGGGAACAAGAGATAAATGAAGAGGAGCAGTGCTATGTGTCAGGGATGGGGTGGGCACAGAGGGGGAAGCCAGTAGCCCTTGGTTTAGCATCCAAGCTAAAATAGGGAAGCAGACCACAGCTTGGAATGACTAGAACATAACCACCTCCAGAAAATTTTTGGAAAACTTATGGAGAATGATGGAGGTCCTGTGCACATAAAATGGTAGCAACAACCATTCCATTTTAATATTAAAGGATTGGTGGCTCTGGATGGTTAGAGGTCTTTAGGACACCTAGGATGGGGCCATCTGGATCATATATGCAAAAGGGAAGACAAGTGGGCCAGCCGAGTAGCTTGGTTAAGAGCTGGCTTGGGATACCAGAGGGCCCCAGTTCGGATTCCACATATGAGGGCCAGTGACACTGCCCTCTACAGCTAAGATGCTAAACAACAGCTCAACCTGGAGCTGGGCTGCCGTGGGTCGCGGGCTATGGCATAGGCTGCAGCCACTGCTGCAGTGGGTTGCCATGGGCTACCGTGTGTAGCCAGCAGCCAGCGTGAGCGGCCAGCAGCTGCAGTGAGCGNTTTGTTTGTTTGTTTTTAAAGATTTTATTGGTAAATTGGGGGAGGGGGACAGCATTGGGGAACCAGGGAAGGGGAAGACAATTTGCTGTCCTTTTGTTCTTCAGTCTGGTTGTGGAGGCTGTCACTTCACTGGCCCATGTTGGTATTATCATTGCGCTCTTCCCAGCTGAGGCAGATGGGTCACCGGCCACTGGACGGCTGCTCAAGCCGGCTGCTGGCCACTCACGGTAGCTTATGGCAGCCCATTGCAGCAGGAGCTGCAGCCTACGCCATTGCCGGTGACTCACCACAGCCCAGCTCCAGGTCGAGCTGTTGTTCACCATCTTAGCTGTAGAGAGCACAGTGTCACTGGCCCTCATGTGGGATCCGAATCAGGGCCCTGCTGCTCAGAACTGGCATCCCAAGCCAACTCTTAACCAACGCACAACTCAGCCGGCCCCCATAAGTTCTCTATTAACTAACACTGCCAACTAAGCTCAGAGACACAACTATGCAAGCTTCTAGGAGATAAAGGACAGTTCTGTGTGGAAGGAAGCTCTGACTAAAATGTGAGGTGCACGGTTACGGCAGCGCAGTTGTCAAAAACGGGTTATTTCCTGTTAGCTTTGCTGGGTGTTGATTTAACCCAAAGGAAGGGGACCACAGTAAATAACATTCTAACTTAAAATGTACCAAGCCTACATTTTAAGTAATACTTGTGGGCTAGATAAAAATCAATGGCTGAGAAGGCTGTCAAAAACGACATCTGCATTCAGGGAGTTCAGGTAATTTAGATCAACTACTACACAAAAAACTCCTACAGATTAGGCAGATTTCTAAATAATGGCAAATAGTGGCTTTGGCCTAATTTCAATACTACTCCAATAAGGTCTAAGGCAGTGGTTCTGCAGCTTTAGGGTCTTTAACGGACCTGTTGAAGTCTAAAGACATGCTCAAGTCTGATTTAGGTAGGGGCTTGAAGTGTGCACATACGAACATTCGAGGCCGTTTAGTCAAGCAGTCCAGGGGCCATCCACACTTTAAGAAGCACCATCCAGGCTCTCATTTAAAGATTTTGATATGCCATGCCGCCCTTCAGAACTGGATATGGGCAATATTGCTGAATTAAATATCACAGAAATGACTTGGCGCAATAATAGTCACCTTTTTGTCAACTTCACTGTCAGAATCGCTGCCAGAAGAGCTTGAAGAAACCAGTTCCTTTGATTTAGGCATTCTGAAAGAAAAATACATTATGTAGATAATTTACAATTGTTCTATTGCCTTCAATTTAACACTCCCCCAATCAAAAATTTAGGACATTCCATGGTTCATTCTACCATTTGGTGGTACTAGAGTAGTTATACTGAGCACATGCTAGAAGTTACACTCTAATCTATGCTCTTCCAAGTTGAAAATAACATGCAGAATGAAGTGTTCTAAACCCAGCAAGGAGAAAGAACTAAATGTCATACACATCTCACACTCCTACACCTTTCTCAAAACCAATGGGTCTTTTTACACTTCATTTTAGCTGAGTTAGATGTTTATGGGTAGGATACATTGCAAGAAGCAGCTGACAGCAATCACTGTTAAAACCAGGGAGAAATATTAATAATTCCTCTCAGCATTGCTATAGTCTCACTGATGAGACCTAACATAAAATTATTCACTGCAGGAAATGACAACATTCACACAGCACGAGGAACAGGTACACTATACGGAGGTTGATATCTAATTAAATTGTCATTATAATCCTATTTTTTCATATTTTATATACATTAATTTTCTTCGGATTTTTTACTATGCCATCAAATAACAAGTACTAATTCAGAGTTCACGAAGTTATACATAATTCACAATTCATTATATTTTACACTGATTTTCTACTCTGGAATACAACTAAAATTTGAAGACTCTTCTGAGACAAAACCTTTCCTCCAATCGCAACTGAGACTCTAGTTCCCTAGCCCCCCCCCCCCCNCATCTAAGCCCTTATCACCTCACATATAGATTAAGGCCTGCAACTACCCAAGAGATCTCACCTGCACCCATTTATTCCCGCCAGTTTATCCCCATCACCTCTCCCCACAAATCCTTCTTTTATAATGATAAAACAAGATAAGACACCCAAGAAAAAAAGCCCTACTATTCCTCTCCGAATGATTTCATCAAATCCCTCTATTGAATTTCCCTCAATTTACCTCACTATTCAACCTTATTCTTCACTATATATACAGAGAGGACCTACTTCAGTAAACCCACTCACCTTTTCTGTTTTCACCAAGTCAAAACTAGGCAGGTCATACTGCTGTTTCCTCTCCAATAATATGTCCATACGTCACAGCCCAATAGACCTACCTCCTCCAAACTGCTTTCTAAATATGCAGTTCTCAATTTCTTCTTTTGGATTTCTATAGCTTTTAAATTAAAATTGTTTTAAATATAGCAAAACTAAAGACTTCTAGATTTTAACAATAACCTAGCTCCTATTGCACTAGAAATAAAGCACTTTCATTTCCACTAACTTGTTCTTATATTTCAACAAATACCTTTAGTCGAGGACGATAACATACATAAAAGATTATGCATTATCAGATTAAGAAACTGTCATCATTCTTCAGACTAAGTCAGATAATAAAGCCTCTGGATCTAAGAAAATAACCAACTTTACCTGAAACATGTTATCATCTCTGCTGCTGCTACTCTGCTTTGAAGATGACAGGGCTCTTGAAGTTTCACCAGTCTTTTGTTTCTTTACAGGTTTTTCTGGAGTAACTTGCTTTTTCCTCTTTAACTTGAAAGAAAAACATGAATATGGTTGAAATTTGCACACTTAATTATAAAACACATCTCAGGTTTGTGGACAAAAAAGGGGGTATGTACAAGTGCAATGAACCAAGAGTAACCTCACAGGGTGATCTGATCACAGATTCCTAACTGGGCAGATCTTGGTAGGTAGTCACACCCCAGGCATGTAACTTTGTAGTGAAAGGTTTATCTTTTGTCTTAAGCCCTGTCCATTGTTTTTTGCCCATTTTTTTTTGTACATCTAGGTTAACACACCTTTGAAATGCTTTTTTTCAGACCCCTGAAAAGCTTAACCACCCTGAAGAGAACACATGGTATAGTTAACTATCCTGTAATCCAATCTCTGCCTTGCTTTCTCTCACCTTCATATAATCTTCCTTATGTTCCATCTTAATCACAAATCTACAAAAGAAAGTGCAAAACTGTCATTCTCCAGAGCATTTAAGGTCTTGCTTCCCAGCAATGATCACTCTGGTGCAAATAAACTCTTATACAAATTCTCTACAGATTTGGACATTTCTTACGTCAACAGGTTCAAAAGATCCCATTACTTTTTAAGACTTAAAGGATCAAAAGCCTACATTTGGGCCAACCGAGTGGCTCAGTTGGTTAAGACCTCGCACAAGAGTTTGAGCTCTGAGCAACAGTGGTTCGAGTTCCGGCCCGAGCTGAGCAGCCACTGAGCTACCAATAGGTAGCAGGATGGCTCAGCTTAAAAAAAAAAAAAAAAAAAAAAAAAAAGCCTACATTTATTTATCAAGAAAAAAATCATAAATATATACATGGGCAAGTTTCACTTGACAATACAACTGGTGTACAAAAGTGTTTTTCAAACTGTTCTCAGGAGCCCCAAAATACTTCAGGCATTATAGTGAAATTAACCTGAGAGTTATTTTATAGGCTACGATCTCACATANAAGAACAAAAGGACAGCAACTTGTCTGTTCCCCTTCCCCCAATTCCCCAGTGCTGTTCCCATCCCCCAATTCCCCAGTAAAAATCTTAAAAAAAAAAAAAAAAAAGAGTTGGCTTGGGAGCTCAAGCTCTGAGCAGCAGGGCTGCCAGTTCAGATCTCACATGGGCCAGTGACTCTGTGCCCTCTACAGCTAAGATGATGAACAACAGCTCTACCTGGAGCTGGGCTGCCATGAGTCGCCAGCGATGGCGTAGGCTGCAATGGGGCTGCAGTGGTCTGCCATAAGCTACCGTGAGTGGCCAGCAGCGGTCGTAAGCTGCCATGAGCTGCAGTGAGCAGCCGTCCAATGGCCAGTAACCCATCTGCCTCAGCTAGAAAAAACGCAATAATCACAATACCAACATGGGCCAGTGAAGTGACATCCTCTACAACTAGACTGAAGAACAAAAGGACAGCAACTTGTCTGTTCCCCTTCCTTGATTCCCCAACGCTGTTCCCCTCCCCCAATTCCCCAATAAAATATTTTTTAGAAAAAAACAAAAAACAGGGAAGACAAGTGAAAGGGAGCACTGGGCATCCTTCCAGGGCAGTGATTCTGGAGAGGTGGGAAAGGAGAGGGTAAAATGTAAAGGGAGTGGCAACTGTTTTTCCTAAGACGATACACAGGAAAAAATCTATCTTCACAGGTTATGAGTTACATCCCTCAGACGCAGTGAATTGGAAAAAGCTAAGGGGGAAAAAGTCATGTTTCACAGGCTTTGAAGAAAATAGGAAAAGTAGGTTTTTTTCCTCCTTTCCTACCCTGCTATAAGTCTGGAGAGTTAGGCCTAGAGACAGAAAGGAAAAGAACCAGCAAGAATGTTTTCCAGTTATTAGATGGGCCTGGCTTTAATGGAACATAACACCAAATCAAAAAGCCACCAGCAATCAAAAGCAAATAGAGCAAAATTCCTCTGTCAGTAGCTGTGGGTAACGTTGGTCATCTGGAGACCAAAGTGGACAGATTGATATGAATTAGAGGGGAGAGGGGGAAGAAGAAGGAAAGGCTGTATTTCCTCCCTAATGGAGAGAGCTATGACCTACTTACTAAAATTTTCTTCCATCAAACAAGCTGCTACAAGCCCTGTATTTATCTGCTGAAATTAGCTTTCATAGTACAACCTTAAAAAGTTAATAATTTGCAATTCCAAAAGTTTAATACTCCTCGCTCAAGTAATTATAAATAAACATGAATTATATATAAGGTCTTATGCAATGAGTAACAGAAATATATTTAAGGAAGCTCTTTAAATACAAACTGTTAAGCATTTTCCCCCTAGGGTGACTTTTCTGAACTTTGTAGTAGAGCTATTCTTAGATCCAACTTTCATCAGAAATGCTGTTACCTTTATTGAAGAATGCATTTTATAATGACAAAAACATACATTCCATTTTTACTAGGTGAATAGCATAACTCATCATACTATCTATACCTGACTTATTTAATGTTCTATAAAATGGTATAATTAGTTTCTAGTAAATACGTTATAACTCATCCAAATGAGTGTTTTCTCCTTCAAAAGTCATCTTCTTGGAAGCTACATAATCATCAGGATGACTTTGACATTGGTCAAAGTTAACTTTTAGAACTCTGTTTTGATTGTTGCTGTCAGAGCTTGAGGCATGGTTTTTTAAATGTCCCTAGTGACAGGGCATCTTTAGCTCTTGAGATCAATTTCTATTTGTAAAGATCAAAAGAAATGGTCAGATCCATGATCAGTAATAAGAGTAATTAATATTTCCATAAAATGATATTCTTATATGGATCACTAATTGGCCCTGATGGCAATTTTAAAAAATGTTGAGTATAAATGTGGTATCACTTTGAACAAGTACATAATGTACAAAGGAAAGTACCATAAAGGACAGTCGTTCAGGTATTATATTGCTTAGGTAAACTTTTTTAGAGTGCTCAATACTTAACATGCATCCTATGTGGCTATGCCTGGGTAGTCAACGAAACCAATATGAAAACTCAATGCAAGCATTCTCCTCTTCAGCTGGGGCCCAAGGCTAGGGTCTTCCTGCCTGGTTAACCATCAGACCCCTAGGGAGGCTGTCCAGAACCATAGCATGAGCTATATCAGCAACAGTTTAGGTATAGTGATTGAAAAATCAATTACTATCATGGTCTCTGCTGAAACAAGAACTCAATCCACCAACTGCCCTTCAAATTGGGGGACCATAGACCTGAGTGATGCTGCATTGAGAAACCCAAGTAATTCAATCTGGAAATACCTCAGAATACTGGAGCTCAAGATACCTATGTAGGATATTTGACTTTGGACCATCACAGAAACCAACAACTCAGGGTCAAGATGACAATGCCACTTCATCTCATTTGGAACTGTGGTCTTTTAACATCACTATATCTTTAGTAAATGCATGTTGTTCGAAAGCAACCAGCTTATTACTTCCAGTTTCAAAAATTTAACTATGATTAACAGACCAAGACGAGTGTATAGATTCTGGTATTTCTGTTTTTTAAGAAGTCAACTTTTTAGTAACCTTATGTGGACATCCTTGTCTCTCAATAACTTCTGCTAGATTGTCAGGCCTAGACTGTAAAAATTAAATAGTTTTGTTCTTTCATGGTAGCACCTAGGTTATCGTTCATTTTGTGTCTTTAAATATGACAGTGGAAAGTCATGCAGAAGTAAGTAATCCAACTAAGTCAGACTGGGACATAGAACCAAATAAGAAAAACGTGAGCCTAGCAAGGTGAAGAAATCAGCACCATCATCCCTGTTTTAATTATTTTTGATGAAAAACATGGATGAACAATTTTCCTCACTCTATTTAAAAGTCTATTTTAAGTGATTTAGAGATCATTAGTAAGTGATTTTTCTCAATTTATTCTTTAAAAGAACTTAAACTGTTAGATTAAAGAAATTCTTCAACAATCCTTTCTTCTACCCCACTGGTTTACTCTTCTGCTTTTCCTTGATTTTAGCTGTTGTTTAAAATTGGCCTTTAAATAAACTTCTAGAGACACCTTACTACATTAGATTCTGCTAAAATATATCCTCAAGTTACTAATTTCTTTGCTCTGAAGAGCTGGATTTTTTTTTTCAATGTAGCACTTCTCTGAGTTTGAACAGTTCTTCTCCAGGACAGTTTTCTAATAAAACTTGTCCATTTTAAACTCTGTATACAAATTCATATTTCTTAGGTTATTTTTGCAATTTTTATTAATTCTTCAGTATTCTGACCTGATGCTTACCTATAAAGCTGAATTAAGAGCCCTAATTCAAAAGTACAAATATCTTTGTGTCAACTCTACATAGAAAGCGGAAATTTCTTCACCATAAAAAAAATATCAAAGACTTGCTGCTCTATAAGAGCAGAACCCTAGATGTGCAGAAAAGGTCATACTCCATTGTGGTTTGTGGAAGAAAGGAGGTGAAACCAGGAAGTATGTCTCAACAGTGATTCTTCAAGAGTCATGCTTGAAGACACAGGGAATGAATAGCTGGTCCTTCTTCGGCCCTCTGGTGCCAAGTCTAGCAGGTATTAACCCCTCTGGTCTGGAAAAATCAATCACTAATAAATTTAGTGAGTACCTACTATGTGCAAATCACTGAATTTGACTCTAGAAACACAGAAGGCTGATGGCATCATCTATAAAGCATCTACTATATGCCAGACACTTTACACATGTTATCTCATTCAAGCGTTCACATCAGCTCCGGAAGGATGATATTTTATCCCCATTATATAAAGAAAGAAACTGAAGCCAGGTTGGCAAAGGGAAGTTACCCAAATTAGTGAGTTGAGCTGTGTCCCCCCAAAAAGGTATTTCAAATCCCAACCCCCAGTACCTGTGAATGAGTCCTCATTTGGAAGTAGGATATTTGCTCATGTAATCAAGTTAAGATAAGGTCATACTAAATTAGGATGGGCTCTAAATCCAATGACTGGTATCTTTCTTAAAGAAAACAAAAGGAGATTTGGGTACAGAGATACAGAGACTGGGGCAGAGATTGGAATGAAGGGTCTACAAGCCAAGGAATACCAAGAATTGCTGGACTTCACCAGAAGCTAGGAAGAGGCAAGGAAGGATTCTTCCCTGAAGAAGGGAGCATGGCCTTGCCGACACCTTGATTTTGGACATCTAGCCTCCAGAACTGTAAGAGAATAAATATCTGTTGTTTTCAGCCATCCAGTTTGTAGTCATTTTGTTATGGCAGCCATAGGGCCCCAAAATACCAGCATCACACAGCTGGTAGTAGGAGTGCTAGAATTTGATCTCAATTGTCTGCATCCCAAATATCAAGCATAACATAGAGTCCATGCTATCAAAGAGAGCTTTTGTTGCCACCTGATTCCCAAACCTATTCATGGCTGCTCCAGATTTCATAAGCTAAGTATTGGGTTGTCAGAAAAGTCATGACGTATTTTTGTCTATGTTTTTCGTTGCAAAAATGCATCATAACTTTTCCG